AGGCTGGCCTCGAACTCACAGAGATCCGCCTGCCTCTGCCTCCCGAGTGCTGGGATTAAAGGCATGCGCCACCACCGCCCGGCTCTTATGTCACTCTTATACCATGCACACGCGCACACATTTGCACACACATGCGCATACACACACCAGCGTGCATGCAGTCCACATGGCTTCTCTTGGCACTTGGGATCAGCAGACTTGAGCTATCCTCTTGGCTGTGTGATGAGGGCGAGTTGGTTACACTCTCTGGGCTCCAGTCACGTCAACCAGTGATGAGGACAGTAATGTGGCATTTGTCACAGAGGCTTACATATTTAAAAACAGTCACGAGCCCATCTTGTGCTATTTTAATCCCGCATATAAGTCATACTTCACAATATATGAATACATCTGCTCCTGGGGTTCAGTCTTTGAGAATCTTAAATATGGATGAAGCATGCATTTGGACCACACCCCTTACCTTCCCTAGAGGTGACCGTGAAGGGCAGTTGCTCTCTCTCTGGACTGTTCTATAGCTTGTTTGTGGGCTTTTGGGTCACATGTGCTTCTGTGCAGTCACGTGATAAGGGCTTTTCTGCGGCTTTCTTTCTTCTCATGGTAGCAGGATATCAGAGACGTTTCCGCCTCGGTCCCGCGTCAGTTTCGTTAGCTGGCCCCTGTCAACAGACTGGGTGGTTTCCAGTAAAGCTCTGTTACGACCTCTGTTACAACCCATCCTGCCAGGACGGCCCAGGGCTCTGCAATCCTGCCCTGCGCTGCCATTTCTGTAGGTGGCCCTCCCAGAGTGCCCCAGGCTCGCCTCTGAGCCATGTTTGAGGGGGGAGCAAACAACAGATATAAGCGTAATTCCCAGTGTAGCAAGGTCAGGCCGGCGTCTGTGTAGATCAGTGTTTCTCAACCTGTGGGTCATGACCCCTTTGGGAAGGTTGAACGATCCTTTCACGGGGGCTGCAGATCAGATATTTGTATTATGATCCATTAACAGGAATACATTAAGCAAAATTATGAAGTTATGAAGTAGCAATGAAAATAATTCTATGGTTGAGGGACATCGCAACATGAGGAACTGTAGTAAAGGGTCACAGCGTCAGGCAGAAGGTTGAGATCCGCTGGTGTAGACGCAGCCCTGCTGAGTCAGGGACTAGCCCAGGGTCCACACACACAAGCCTACTCTGCCCCAGCTCCACCAGAACAGGGGTGAGCGTCAGGTTCCAGCACTACAGAAGCGGCCATCAGCAAGCCACATTCCTCTCTAAGACCCCTGGCCTCAGAGGCTGCCGAGTGACAGTGCCCACTGGCCCGCGCACATGGGGACAGTGAGCTAACATGTCAGCATGTACAAGGGCCGTCACACACTCCTCACATTCTAGCCCTGCGCGGCCTCTGACCCCATCCCACCCCTTCCCGCGGAGTCCTGTGTTCAGCTGGCCTCTAACTGGACTGGAGTTACCTTTCCAGGTGCCAACCGTTGACCTTAGTTTGCAACTAGTATGTTAACTGTAAACAAAGTAACCTGCTGTTGGCGCGGAAGCTTGGCAACGCTTCAGTTACCAGGGAGATGCTAGCCCGTTACCTCCCCCCCCACCCCGCGCTCATGCACGCACGCACGCACGCACGCACGCACGCACGCACGCACGCACGCACGCCCCAGATTGCGGACTTATAATGGAATTTTGAAAACCATTTTACATTTGCTTGTGTCTGTGCTTGCTCAAGTACATACCATAACGTGTGTGTGGAGATTGGGGGACAACTTATAGAAGTCATTTCTCTCCACCGTGTGGGTTCTAGGGATCAAATTCAGGCCACCAGGCTTAATAGCAAGGGCCCTTGTCTGCCGAGCCGACTCGCTGGCCCTTATAATGGAATTCTGATGGTGTTTGTGGCCCTCATTTAACTGTCAGTTGTTTGAGGACACGTTCCCCGGAACATAGTAGGTGCTCAGTAAATCTGAGTGAGCACAAATAAGTAAAAAGCTTCCAACTGGCTCTCGGGCACGAGGCTGCAGCCGTGGACGGTAATCCCTTCGGGACAGGCCACCCCAGCGAGCTAGCTCCGTTGGGATGAGCATCCAGAACCGGGGACCAAGGGCAGGAGCAGCGGTCGGTCATCGTACTGTTCTCTGCAGCCAGCTCTACCTGTCCTGGGAGGCCCCTGGGTGGGTGTTCCTTGGAAAGGCACCCCCAAACCTGATCGGGTCCAAGCCTTCTAGGTTGAAAGATTCTATTTCATGAGCTCACCCAGGGGTGACCAGGCTCCGGGAAATCAACCAAGCGCTGCTGATTGATAAGCCAGCTCAGCGATTTATTAACTTCTGCTTGGCAGCTGTGCCCAGCGAAACGGCCAGCAGCACAGGAGTTCCCTCACCCCACACCCCCGCCTGCTTGTCCTCTTTGCCGAGGAAATTTCACTTAGGAAGCCAGATCTCATTCTGCCAGGTAGAACGGAGTGAAATGATAGCGAAGAATAATGGTGGCGGCCGACGCCACTGCACAAGTCAGGGGTGGCGTGGCCCTTGCGGCCATCCTGTTTTGTACAATGAAGGCGCGGAGGTCACATGACTAAGTTGACTGCTGAAACACGGAGGAGCGAAGGACTCAAACCTCAGCCTTCCAGCTTCAGTCCGTGTCCGGGGGTTGGGAGAGAGGGAGGCTGCCCTTAATGCTGCTGCTCGGGGGGCCTGATTCTTGCACGCAGGGTCCCCTCAACCCTTACCACGGCTCCCATTTTCCCTCTATTAAAGCTGTTCGGATTCCCCTCGGGCTCTCTCTGCCTCCCTGACGGGATGTGGGAGCCACCTGAGTCTCATTAGCTGTATCTGCCTATTCTTGGGAGGATGCTGTTCCCACAGTCACACCAGAAGAGCCCCAGTAACAACCGCTACCACGCATTAGGCGCCAGCTGTGGGCCAGGTGTCTCGCACACAGTACGGTGATCACCGTCTCACAACAGCCTCCTGAGGCAAGCGCCCTCATCTCCCTTCACAGCTAGGGGCTCACCGGCCAAGAAGAGGTTCAGCATCTTGCTCATTCTCCTGACTGAGTGAGTAGCAGGACAGAGTTTCCAAGTCAGGTAGCACTCCAGACTGAGCTCAGAATCACCCTCTGCCGCCGCCGCCGCCGCCGCCGCCGCCGCTCCTTCCAGGGTGACCCACCTCGTGTACCGTGTGCTGGATTTGCTCCCTGTTGGTGTCTCTGGCCCCTGTGGTTTGTGGCGTCAGCCTGGAGGGCAATGCCAGATGTACCTCCCAGGGTTCCCTGTGGCCTACATCTAAAACAACTCCCGGGAGTCTGGGTCCTGGGAGTGGAGGAGTTCTTGGATGGGGTGAAGGAAAGGGGTCGGGACATCCTTCAGCCTCCCTTCGGGACAAGTAGACGCTTCAAGGTCAGGTAGCAACTCCTCTGCCACCACCCCCCAGTCTAGCCAATGCCCATGCTTCTTCACACCCCAGATAACATGTCCCTCCTAGAACACCTTCCTCTTGAACAATCAAGAGCTCTCACTCCATAGCCCTAATTATAACGAGGACCCAGCTTTCCAGTAATTATCTGGAAGCTCTCCCCCAAAGCAGTGAGTCTCGCCAAAGCACACACACAGATTTGTGTCCCTTACGGTTTCCAACTCTTAGTCCCTGGCATGCATCTGTTACCCAGTACATTGGTGTGTGTGTGTGTGTGTGTGTGTGTGTGTGTGTGTGTGTCTGTGTGTGTCTGTGTGTGTGGTGTGTGTGGAACCCAGGAACACAGGCCTTCCACATATAAGTAATGAAGGAGCTAGGCACAGAACATGCGTGAATCTAAAGAAATCTCAATCTCTGTGGGGTCGGTTCTTCCCCTTTAAGACACTGGGAGACTTTGAAGCCTTTACCCTCCAAAAGATGTCCCTGCCTGCCTGATGTCATAGGCTGCTTGCAAGGGGTTTCTGCCGCCAAGATTGAACCCAGAGGGAAGCTCTGAGGGAGGGGCGGAGTCTCTGTGGACAGTGGGAAGGGTTGCCAGGGGTGGTTGGGGACAGAGGGAGCTGTGGCTAAGGCAATCTGTGTACAATCATCAGTTAGGCCCAAAAGGTTCCCCTGGGAAGGCAGGAGACACATTAATCCTGGGTGCTGTGGAGAGCAACAGAGCGGAATGGTTAGCGGAATAGTGTGGGTGCTGGAGCCAGCCTGCTCGAATACCGAGTTCACCATTTCCCCACATGAGTAAACTCAGATCAATAGTTAACATCTCTGGCCTCAGTTTCCTCTAGTGATAGCAATTCTCCTGGAAGGAGTTGATGTCTGTAAAGCAGATAACAAGCTCCTGAACTACCTGAAGTGGGCATACCCTCAAACGTGGAGCAGGTCCTGGGACCACGTGAAGATCGTCTGGACTAGAACGCTCCCTGCTTCAGGAAGTCCGCCTAAGCTGCCACGCTCACCCAGGACAGATGACTCCTGGTTAACGCTCAGCACTGCCAGAAAGCACTTTGTATTACTGTGGGGCTACTCTCATCTCACGAAACACACACACACACACACACACACACACACACACACGCACACACACACACACTCCCAGACTTCAGCTTCAGAGGGCAGGGACCCCTAACTCTCTGCTGTACCCCGGCTGGAACAAAATAAGTGCTCAGTAAATAGGTGCTGGATATAATTAAGGGTGGGAGGTGTTGGGGACATTCCGAGCTCTGGGCTGTAGCAGGACGGTCACTAAACCACCAGGAGATAAAGCCAGCGGCTTAGCCCCTCAGTGTCCACGCTGGTTGAAAACTCTGACTTCTCGCTCTTTCTTCTCTTCCAGTTCCTGGCTCTTGACACTCAGATGCTCATGGGGAACCGCCGCCACTCCCTGAGTCCCGAGGAGTATATTTTTGGCGCCCTCAACATTTATTTAGACATTATCTATATCTTCACCTTCCTCCTGCAGCTTTTTGGCACCAGTCGGGAATGAGGAGCCCTCCCCATCCCTACCTTCCTCCGGAGAATGTCCCTTCCCTGTCCTGTGACCCTCTCTGTACTCCTGCAAAACCAGACATAAACGCGCTGCGGCCAGCCTGTAAACAGCCGCGCTCTCCTGCAGCCAGCCCCCACCTCGACCTCTGCGGCTTGTACATATGCCATCCTCGGGGGCCTACAGATCTGAGGCCACAGCATCCCCTGTGGTGCCCCTGGCACCCAATTCCATCTTCCAAATGGAACAGTCAAGGCTGAGGGCGTCTCTGGATTTGCAGACCTGGGAAATGAGTGGGAGGAAGCCCCTCAGAGATGGGAAGGAGACCCCAGAAAACCTGGCTGAGGCTGTGACCCCACTGAGTCTTTCGGGGCTTCACTTTCTCTTTCAGGCTGAGCAACCACGATTTGTAAGGAAAAAGGCTGAGGGACGTGGCTGGGACCTGAGGACAGGGCACTGTGGTGGGGGGCAAAGCTGTCCCAGGCTGTTCCTCTCTCAGCTGTTAGGGCCGGGAGCTTGTTCTAAGGTCCTGGACAATATGAAAGGAGTGGGATGCTCCCATTACTTGCCTCAGTTTACCCTCCTGGGTCATAGGATGGGGGCGGGGGGTGTGTGCCCAAGTGTGGGCCTGTCCTGAGCTCCCAGGCAGGGGACGGCAAGTGAGCTGGCTGGGAGGACTGGAGGGGGGCAATCCATCACACGGCATCCACCGGGAAGGCCTGTGGGAATGAATGAATGCAGGACGAACAACCATCTTTCTTTCCACCCCGTGATGTTCCCACAGGCCTGAGGGGGAAGTGAGGTGGGGAGGCCTGGTGGAAGCCGTTCTAGCTGCTGGACCAGCCCTCACCAGGGGCTGTCCTCTAGTCCAGCCTTCCACACCTATTTCCTAAGCCTTTCCCATCTTCTGCTACATCCCGTCTTATCTCCAGTCAGGCCTCCCGAGGCCCTAGGAGTTGAGGTACCCATGTATGTCCCTTCCCCCAGCCTCCCTGGCCACTCAGCCCAGAGTGCCTGGACCCTTGGCCCTTATCTCCACATCTCTGTAATTTGGAAACTGCCCAGCTAATGGTCACAGCCAGGGCCAGTCCCTTGAGCCTGTCCCATGTGCTGAAGCCAGAGCTCCTTATCGGCCTCCAGGCGGCTGGGATCTCAGGCAGAGTGTGCGTCAGCCACCCTGCCCTGGCTGAGTGCCTGCTGGAGAGGGGACCAGGGGGCCACACCTGGGGCAGCATGCAGCCCACATATACACATGGCCAGCTCCAGGCCAGTGGAAAGTTACTGGGTGGAGGCGTGGAGGCCCTGTGGCTGTAGGGGGCTCTGTCTGTCCCCAGGAAAGGGGACTAGGTAGCTTATCCATTCCCGTCCCTGCCCCTCCCCGCCCTTCCTACTTGCAGCCTTCAAGAAACAGTGCAGACGCATTTGAAATTGTGTTCTAGCTTGGATATTTGAGAAGGGAAGTAATCAAGAACCGGAGGGGCGTGGTATGTGAGGGGCAGTTGGGGTGAGTCTTGGTCCAAAGGCGCCCACTGCTGCAGTCCAGAAATGGGGTCCTGCAACGGTGATCAGCATAGCCCATTGCAGAGGCAAAGCCAAGTGGCTCAGAAAGGCTTGGTGACAAGTCCATTGTCATCTAGTAAACCTGGGGGTCAGCCCACAGCTGCTTCACTCAGGGGTCCCTCCAGTGTGAGTCGGGGCTGGATTGAGAGTTGTGGAGCCCACAGATGTGGGTGGTCAAGCCCTGGCATCTCTAGGGGTTTGTTATCCCCCCACCCGCCATGTCACCCAGCCTAGCACTCCAAGATGCTGAACTGAGGTTTTTACCCCCTGGAAGTCAGCTGGGGGGGGGGGCAGGATTCCTGGCTTCTGATCTGGCCTGGCTGCCCACGGACTTGTGTTTTGTCCCCAACCAGTGCCAGTGTGGTGCAGGGAGAGGCACCAGGACACTTGCACTGATTTCCTCCTCTAGTTCCCCACCTGGAGTGCCTGTGCTAATCTCTGGCTTCAGTTCTAGAAAGGTTTGGGGCCCCTCCCCCACTGACCTGCCACCCTCACACTGGCCAGTTTCCCAGAATCCACTTGTCCAAGTCCTCCTCTTCTGGGATAATCTATGCAAGAGACTGAAGGTTGAGAAATTTTTCCAAGGCTAAGTTCCAAAAAAATTGGGGGGCGGGAGGGGGAGAGGGGCAAGCCCTCAACCATAAATAATGTGACCCGGGCGGGCACCAGCCACAGTGATCTCAAGGATGGTGGAGGAGGTGGGGGAGGCCCAGCAGGGTTCACTTCAGCCTGCCACCCAGCCCGCAGCTGAACGGGCAGGGGGGTGCAGAGGAAGCCCTGGCGTCGACCCCTGATGGAGCAGTGAGGAGACCCAGGAACACCTGGGTGGGTCTTGGCAGGAGGAAGGGCGGGGATAAGAATGCAGGATTATGAGGAACGTGGGATTATAAGAAACCGAAGCTGGGCAGGTGCGGCACGCAGTGAAGGAGGAAGGACTCCCACTGGCCCCTCGCATTTTTAGCTTGGGTGGGGCCGGACCTATGACGGGGTAAGTTGGATTTCCTAAGGTTAGAGGGAGCCAGGAATCTATCTGTGATGAGAGTCCCCTGAGGTACCGTGGCAGATACGGAGGTCCCAGGAGGGAGTAGCCACATTAAATCCCCACACCAATTCCTGGGGCCGTGTATAGCTCTTCTGGTGTAGCCCGAGGAAGCCACAAGATTAAGAATCCTGGTTCTTCCATTCCATACCGTTTCTCCTGTGGGAGTCAGGGTCCCTCAAGCACCCTCATTTCAAAAGGTTGAGAGTGGGGTGGCAAGTTGGGAATTTTCCACAAGGACCTTGCTGCCCCCTTCTGGCTGTTAGAGGAAAAGCAGAGTCTGGCTTTTCAGAGAAAGAATCCATCGCTGGTGACAGTGGCGAGGGGCAGGACTTAGGGCCCCTATCCTGAGTCGTCCCCACCCCCACCCCCAGTGTCAGAGGACAGAGATCTATCTGCCACACACCCAGACACCGCTGCCCTTTTGGCCTCAGTTCCCACGGGCTCCCCAGGGTCCCCTGTGTGCCCTTCTCTGACCTCACCTGCTCAGGACGTGTGACTGATTGGAAATGAGAATAAAAGCATTTACTAAGACACCTGAACTGTTTGCTTGTGGCCTCAGCCGGCTTTTGTAGAGCGTGTGAAGTATCCCTCGGCAGTGGGATGTAGCTTTCATGCAGAAGCTTGCTGTAATTCCCACCTTTGTTTTCGTGGGGGGAGGTGAGGAGGGGTCCTCCTGCTCAGTTACACCCTTTCCCGAGAGCCTTCTGCAGACAGACCCCAACTTGCCTGGTCTGTGAGAGCCTGCCCTTTTCCGGGCCCTTCTGGTAGAGGAGCCTTCCTTATTTTGAGCAAAAGTGTTTCCTTTAAGTGGAGTATCCAGGCATCCCCCAAAGCCGCAGGCTTGAACCTGTAAAACTCGAACTGGAGCTGGGGAGCTGTTTTGTGCACCCCAGAGCCACACAGCTTACAGCACGTGGACAGAAGCACCGTTTGGGAGCAGGGGGGGTAGAGATCTACACCATTATTTTACGTAAGAGGAAATAGAAGCGAAAGTTTCAGTGTCCAGCCCAAGCTTACGAACAAATTACCAGCTGGGAGTGGCCTCAGAAGACAAGTCAGTTAAGGATTCTGTCCAAAGGTTCCCATGAGGGACGGGTGGTTTGTTTTTGTTGTTTTGTTTGCAGTTTTTTTGTTTGTTTGTTTTTTACTTTTTGGGTTTTTGGGGTTGGTTTGGGTTTTTTGTTTGTTTGTTGGTTGGTTGGTTGGTTTTTTCGAGACAGGGTTTCTCTGTGTAGTTTTGGTGCCTGTCCTGGATCTCATTCTCTAGACCAGGCTCTGTGTCCAGAGTGCTGGGATTAAAGGCATGCCCCACCTCCGCCTGGCCAAGTGATGAATAGTTTTTGTTTTTTAAAGATTTATTTATTATGTATACAGTACCCCTGCAGGCCAGAAGAGGGCACCAGATCTCATCACAGATAGTTGTGAACCACCATGTGGTTGCTGGGAATTGAACTCAGGGCCTCTGGAAGAGCAGCCAGTGCTCTTAACCTCTGAGCCATCTCTCCAGCCCAAATGCATTCTTTGTTTGTTTGTTTTTGTTTTTGTTTTTTGTTTTTTCGAGACAGGGTTTCTCTGTGTAGCTTTGCGCCTTTCCTGGAACTCACTTTGGAGACCAGGCTGGCCTTGAACTCACAGAGATCTGCCTGCCTCTGCCTCCTGAGTGCTGGGATTAGAGGCGTGTGCCACCGCCCGGCTGTGATGGATAGTTTTATGTCAACTTGACACAAACTAAAGCCAGAGAGGAGGAACCTCAAGTGAGAAAATGCCTCTGTAAGATCAGGCTGTAGGTAAGCCTGTAGGGCAGATCTTAATTAATGATTGAGGGGGAAGGGCCCAGGCCATTGTGAGTGGTGCCATTCATGCACTGGTGGTCCTGGGTTCTGGAAAGCAGGCCGAGCGAGCCAGTAAGCAGCCTCTGCATCAGCTCCTGCCTTCCAGGTTCCTACCCCATTTGAGTCCTGTCCTGACTTACTTCCATGATGAACAGTGATGTGGAAGTGTAAGCTGAATGAACCCTGGCCTCCACAACTTGCTTTTGGTCGTGGTGTTTCCAGGTATGTGGGAGGGGACATGATCACACTGAGGGGGAATATTATCCAATAGAAATTCATCTGGGGGCTGGGCACTGAGGGGGTAGGGGGGGTCAGAGCCAGGCAGATCTCTGTGAGTTCAAGGCCAGCCTGGTCTACAGAGCGAGATCCAGGACAGGCACCAAAACTACACAGAGAAACCCTGTCTGGAAAAACCATCTGGGGCCAGGAAAGACGTGGTAGAGGGAGTCAGGGATGGTGAAGCGAACATTAGTAGCTTGCATTAGGCAACCAGTGCCTACAAAGCATGCCATGGCCTTGAAGAAGCAGAGGATGCACAACAGCTTGAGACCACATAGCCTCAAGTCCTGAGGAAACACTCCTCCCTCTCTTCCTTCCTCTCTCCTTCCTTCCTTTTTCTTCTTCTCTCCCTCCCTCCCTTCCTTCCTGTTTTTTGATTGCTCTGTTTGAGATAAGAGTCTCATCATGTAGCCCAGGCTGGCCTTGAACTCACAGTCTTACTGCCCTGAGCTGGGATTATATGCATGTACCACCCTGTCTAGCCTGTACGTATTCATTAATGGAACCCCAGGAAGAACCTGTGCTGAGCTAGAGTACAGGGGGCCTGGCGACCTCTGACTCAGGCCTCTGATGGAGCAGGAATGGGTGGGGAGGGAGGGACGGAGCGGTCTAAGTTGGGGAGAGGGAACACTGGACTCCTGGGCTTCTCCCAGCCACCACAACCTTCAGCCTCCTCATCTCATCCCCTGGCTGTCTTCATTAGTTTCCTGGGGTTGCTGTAACAAATGGTCAGGAACTGGGTAGCTTAAGACAACAGAAATAGTCTGTTCCGCCCCAGTTGTGGAGGCCTGAGGCATGCTCGTGCCCTTGTGCGGCTCTGACGACTGCTAGTTTTCTTTACTACCGTCTTCCAGTCTCGGCCTGCTTCATCCTGAGGATTCTTCCCTGCCTCTCCTCCTCCTGCCTGGACCTATAGCCTGCTGCACATCAGGATGATGAACTCAGTACCAGATCCTTCTTCTGGAAAAAGATCCAGTTTCCACGAGGTCCCATGCACACATATTGGGATTAAGGACCAGGACCTATCCAGGTGGACCACTGTCAGCCCACTACACCACCCTCTCCCTCCAGAGGCCGCTGCTGACTCCCCTCCCCCCTACGGCTGAGAGGGCCTTCATTCCCATTGCCAGTATGGCTGGACAAATCTCACAGCCTGACCCAGCTCACATACACCATCCATCTCTGCTCAAGTATGTCTACTCCCAGAAAACCTGCTTGCTGACTCCTGGACTATGCCCTCCTACACCCCACAGAGAGTCAAGACACTTCCTTCCCAGCCCCCAACCCCAGCCCCCTCCATTCTCTTTCTGGGAAAAACCCCTCCAAAAGCAGCCAGCCCTTGCTGCCCCTTACCATAACACCTCTAGTGCCTTTTGTTGGCTGCCTCTTCTCTCTTGAACCATTATTTAAGTAGCCCAAGTGCCTTGGGCTACCATGCTGGGGAGACCATGGGCAGGTCCTCTCCCAGGAGCGGCAGCTCAGCCTTCCTGCCATGCCCACCAAGGTGGCAGCCACATGAGAAAGAAGCCAATTTGGAAGAGGCCACTCCGACTTCAGCTGCTTCTGGCCTCAGGCCTTCGAGTCTTCCAGGCTGAGGTCCAAGATGTCATGGCACATGGACAAATCTGTCCTGTCCAAATTCCTAACCCACAGACCCTATGAACACAGTTAAATGGCATGGTGTCGGGGTGTATCACGTAGCGCAGGTCGGTCAGTTGAAGAAAGAAGGCACTCCAAGATGAAATTTTAAGGCCTATGTGGCAGCAGGAAGATCCAGCCTCTTCTGATGGACTGAACCCCAAACAGCCGTACAAATGTATATTTGTTGAAAGTTACACAAAGTATTTCCTCATACCAAGGTCCCTAATTCACATGTCTTACTGGAGGAGAGCTTCACATGCTCTCTAGTCCTTTATTATGTGTCGTGTGCAACACACAAGAGCCTCAGGTGTGTTACAGAGCAAAGTCATGGGATGGCTGCAAAGCCCCTCCTGCAAACAATCAGTTTTCCACAAGGATTCTTCACGGTCAGAGTACTTCTGAAAAAAAAAAAGTGTTGTTCATTCTGATATCTACCCCCATACAGTGATTCCGCTAAATTCCTGCAACAGTATGGTTTTGGGCCACCAAGTCTGAAGTCATTTGCCAGGCAGCAGTTCCCCCAAATCATATGCTGTGCGGGGGTGGCATACCAGGGACTCGAAAATGTGTCTTCCTAGTTCAGACTGAGAGCGATCTCATTCAAACCAACCCGGAGGAGAGCTGATTGAGATGTAATTCTAGACCTCAGGCCTGCGGCTGTGCTGGAATGGAATGGGATCTGGGGAGGTCTTGGTGGGGGATGAGTGTATTTTTGCTGAGCTGGAGGCTAAACTGGAGCATTTAAAACAATGGCTCCAAATTCTTTGCTCGGTGGAATGTGCTGGAAGTGATAAGTGTGAGTCTCGAGAGTTCTCTGGCCCATCGACTTCAGCAGTACTTCTAAGCAAACTCTGACCGGCCCTCTATGGTTCATACGCTCTCTCTTAAGCAAGTCACCACGGCTTTGAGGTAGAAGGTGCTGCTCCGATGGGTTGTGAGATACATATTTGCCCCCAGCAACCATGAAGTACATGGTTGTGCAGGCCAGAAACACCGGAACTGGGGTGGAGACAGGGAGACTCTGGGAGCTCACTGGCTGGCCAGGTCAGTGGAAACGGTAAGCCTGCAGATCAGTGAGAGATCTTGTCTGAAGGTAATAGGGTAGAAAGAGACAGAGGACTGGTTCTCAACCTGTGGGTCACGACCCCTGTGGGAGTCACATATCAGATCTCCTGCATATCAGCTATTTACATTACGATTCATAACAGCAGCAAAATCACAGTTATGAAGTTGCAAAGAATACAATTTTTGTGGTTGGAGCTCACCACATGAGGAACTGTATTAAAGGGGTGCAGAGTTAGGAAGGTTGAGAACCACTGATAAAGAGGATGCTATCCAATGTCCTGCTTTGGACTACATATATGCATGTTACCTGCAGATTCATGTGCATGCCCCATCTCTCTCTCTCTCTCTCTCTCTCTCTCTCTCACACACACACACACACACACACACACACACACACGGGGATGGCTAGCTGCCTAGTGTAGTCGGAACACATGGGATATGGAAGGGGTGGAGAGTGACGACCTAGACCTACAGAAGAGACATGTTATGGAGAACCTGCCATGACTGCCAAGGAAGGGAACTCAACTCTGCTGGCAGAAGGCACATGGAAAGTGGGTAAGTAGAGGCATAACGGAGTCAGATCAGTGTTTGAGAAACAACTCTGAAAGACAATTCATTCTCTGACTAGAAATCATATTTCCAGATGTATAGCTGGAAGGTTCTCTGGTCCTGCCCTGACAACCCTGCCACCTCCACCCCCACCCCGTGGTCAGGGTGAATCT